ATTAACCAAGGGCATTTTCTGGTATTTTGAATGTTTCACCATTCTCTGCCTTTTGCTTTATATATATAGATACTAGCCTCTTCGCACGCGCTTCCGCGCCTGCGAGATGCTTTTTTTAAAAAAATTAAAATTTATTTTAGAATTAAAAAAGATAATGGGTAGTTGTGTTCCATAAAAAATATTATCCATTATCTGATTTTTCTTTTAATTTTAACTTTTTAAAAATATGAAAAAGTGTGAATTTACCATATTATCTTCATTTAATTAATAATTTCAATTCAATGTTTACATTAATCAAGGGCATTTTCTGGTATTTTGAATGTTTCACCATTCTCTGCCTTTTGCTTTATATATATAGATATAATAAGCACTATAAGAGTTTACAAAAGATAGCACTGAAAATAGCCAATACTATCCAAAACCCAAACATGAGAGACATGAACAAATGTATAAAAAATTAAGAGTGGTGATTTCCCCACTAATAGTAGCTTACTAATATTACTATTATTAATATAGCCCCTTCACACACGTTCATGCATGTGCCAATTGGTTTTTTTTTTTTTTTTTGGGGTTTTTTTTTTAGAATTAAGAAAAGATAAAATGGGTAGTTATGTTCCATAAAAATAGGACCAATTATCTGATTTTATTTTTATTTTTAAATTTTTTAATAGGACAAATTATTGAATCGACACAACATAAATGAGAAAGAATGAATTTCAACACTAAGCAAAGCTGCAAACTTGGGGTGTTTGAAATTCAAACAAAAAAACCACCATACACAACCAAATAGCCTATGAAGAAGATAACAGAGAAGAAGATGAAGAGTGAAGAGGGGAAGCATATTGGAGAGTGTATGAGAAAGAGAGATGGATACTTGGAGAAGAGTGAAGAGAATAGCTATTGGAGAAGATAGCAGAGAAGAACTCTAGGGAGAAGAAGATAAAAATAGTGTCTGATTTTTCACGTAGAAGTGTGTTCTTTTTTTTCCTAGCCTTATAATTAAGTGTGTATTATCTAAACAGGAGAGTGTGCGGTTGTATTAGTTAGTCAGGTAAGGAGAGTATTAAAAGCTCAACCCGTTTAAAATAGTAATGTAATTAAATAATACAAGTTGACACCAAACAACTGACATGGATTATTTACTCCTATCCAGAGTCTAATACGATGTACCAAACGAGCCCTGAAGGAATTGTATTCTCCATAGTAGATACTTTGTTAACTAGTACAGAAATCCTAAAATTGAAAAGGAAAAACAGAAATAATTCCCTATATTTGCAATTTGATTATTTGAGGAGCATACAATGTGTTGAAGCAAAGAGAACCGGCTTTAACCAAGGTGGTTGGTGTGAGTGGTTCGGCACTCTCATTCCTTAAGAGAGGTCAGGGGTTCGATCTCTGCTCTCGTACGGAGTCACCACTTTTGCCAACACTTTACCCCTTACGGGCCGACCCGGCTTTTTGATCTCTTGTTTTAACTCACTAGGTTCAAACCAATGGTATTTTTTTTCCTAATGCTCTTGGTTTCTAGTTTTGTTCAGCGCCCAATATCTTTCATAATTTTTCCATGTACCCTGTTTTTATTTATTTTTAGTTCATAAACTATACGAGTTTCTGTGGTTGTATTCATACATTAAGTGGCCATAATTCCTTTTCCTTCTTTTAATCCTAGAATTGTAGGTAACAAAAAGGACCTAATAGAAATTTGCAGCAAAGAAAAAGAACCCTAACAGAAGATTGCGGCAAGGAAATTTACAGAGACATTGCAGATATGGTAGTGCCATTTCCGCTTCTTAGATAATGAGCACTCTCCATCCTTCCTGTCGTGTATAAATGTTATTTAGATCTAATATTGATAACTACTTCTAATTTCTATGTTTCATCGTTTTGATATACGTTGCAAGTTTTTCCATCTGCTTTTCATATTTGGAATCTATTGGACATGACTATATGGTGTGAAGCATTTTCTTAATTGCAATACATGGTTTGAGGTCTATTATTGGCTTTGAGATAACCTTACTCTTTGTGATGTCTATTCAGCAAAAGATGGCGCAACAATTATGGCAGATTAATCTGGGTGTTCTTTGTGTAATTGAACATATTAGCTTTGGTTTTGTTTCAAACTTTCTATGTCAGTGATAAACTATTGATGGTTGTGACGGGTTGTTGATACTATTGCTATGTTACTGAAAAGATATTGACAGACTATTGATAATTTATTCACTGGTTATTGACAAATTATTGACCCGTTCTTGATATATTATTGATAGCATTGAGAATGGTATTTGTTGACAAGCATTGAGAAGCATCTTAAAAGGTATATATACATAACATGCCCCCTTTTTATGGCTTGCATTTACAAGCATTTGTTGACACTTTAAATACGTAGAGTCGTTGCAAGGAACTTGTAGTAATTTTTCCTATATTAGAGAAATGACTCAAGTCAGAATCCCATTGCTGCAAAAGTATTCACTACAAGCATTTTTCCAAAATATGTTTCGCAAATGCTTCAAAAGTATTCACTACAAGCATTTTTCCAAAATATGTTTCGCAAATGCTTCAAAAGTATTCACTAGAGCTTAAACAAGCCATGATTTACTATTCACTAAAGCTTCATAAATATTAATTTTATTTTTTGACTATGAAGTCTTAAGTGTAGAAAGTGTTACAAGAAGTTTGTAAAATTCTTGTATGTATTTTTATGCTATTTTATGAATTTACTATGATTTTTGGAAAATAATAATAAATGAAAGAGAATATTTTTTTTGGGGGGTCAAAAGGAATCCATTGAAACAAGGGCAAAAGCCAAAAGAAACCATACAGAAAGGAGAGAGCCAATCGGCAGCTAGCAAACAAGCAAAAAGCATAAAAGCACAGGATAACAGGGAGCCAAGAAAGCCACCCAGTAGAATCCATGCCACAGCAGGAGACCGACACTTAAAAAATGTCTTTTTGATTTTGTTTCGTTGCTTGTTTTGACTTTGAGGATGAATTTGCTTTTTGGTTTGTTTTTATTGTTAGAGTGGTTGCAACTTGATTAGAAATTGCAGCGCAATCAGAAATTGTTTAAGTTGAATTTTTTAAGCCCAATGATGACTGGATTTTAAGAAAAAGTCTATTTGATTTTGAAGTTATATGTTCTTTAATACT